AAAGTAAAAGACTTGCACAGATTAATCAAAAAGTATTTAAAACCACGGCATATGGAATTACTTGTCAGAAAAAATGAAACAAATTTACTTTACATCCCAACAACGAAAAATTAGATTTGATGATAAATTATTTCAAAAATAGAAGAAACAGTGTGTGGACGTGTATTGATCTTCTTTTATTTCAAAGTGTTGCGATGGGTGGAATTGCAAATGTTGATAGCCTAGTCTCGGATGAGAAAATTTTATACTTCTTCTTTGTTGCAAAAATAACAGAAGCTGACCAAATTCGAGATATTTTGTTCAAAAGAGTTGAATTTCTTAGGGGAAAGGTTGATGAAATGCTTTTTGGTGAAAATTGAACAAATATAAATAAATATTGAGTAAAAAAGTTTGTTTTAAATAATTTTAATAAATTAAAATTGTTGTTTTGAAGATATATTTTTATTTTTGTTGTTTAGAACGGGACCTACATTGACCACCACCACCTCTTAAAATAGATTTATTTTTTCTATTTCGAATCATATTCAAATTAAAATTATAGTAAATAGGAAAATGGGAAGATATTAGGTCTGGTTCCCGAATTCAAGAAATGCCGAAAATTCACCTCGAGTTAGTGGAAACCAAGTGAGACGGAGCATTGAAAAGAAGGCTCTGAAGACGCACTCAAACAGTCTGTTTGTGCACCGTTTCACCCACTTTCCAAGTCCTCCCTTGGCGCGGATCCCCCCTGACCCCCCGCAAGCGGGGGGAACCACATCCGCGTCCACACAGTACGGACAAGGAAAGTGGGTGACATGGGGACGCACAAACAGTGGCTGAAAAGTGGACTTCCTTCAAAAAACACTCGCGGCAAATATTTTTTTTGGTAAAGGTGGTGGTCAATGTAGGTCCCTGTTTAGACCATAAAAATATTTATTTTTATTTAAATTTCAACACCATGTCCAGAAAAATCTATTGTGAATTAAAAGTAATTCTTTTAATATCGTTTTAATTGAATTTATAAATGAAACTGTTTATTGAAATTTAAGTGTTAATATAATAAATAGTAAAGAGTTATTTGCTTAACGTTGTCTGGTCTTTAATGTTGTCTGCCTATTATTGAACCATTATAAATAGAATATTTCTGGAAATTTTTCATTTTTACCTAGTTTCCGTTTTTTGATACAAAAATCAATCATTTTTCGTAAAAAACAACATTTGGGGAACAGACAACATTTAATGAATGACTTTTAATATATGAAAAATAACAATATATGATGTTATATAACATCACAGGTTTAAAGTTAGGTAGTATCACATAAAAAAATATTAAAAATTGTATTTTTTTATTTAGCAATAGAACAATAAGTTACCATTCAATTTAAAAACTTAAATTGAATAAAATAACATACAACCAAATGTCCCAACTTGATGGATATTCTATTATGATTGTTTCAAAATATTTTAAAACGATAGAAGACTTCAAAGTTATTACTTGTGTTTGTAAAAAGTTTCGGGAAAACACACAAAAATTTCATTTTAACCCAATTCAACTCACAACATCAACTCTTCATTTATTTCCTAATGTGGAAACGTTTCATTTTTACAAAGGATCAGAAAACATATTTTGGCAAGATTTTATATTTAACAAAAAAATTAATCCAACGCAATTTTATAAAATGATTGTTTGGTGTTTAGTTGATTATAACTTGACACAAATATGGGAGTATAACAACATAGAATTTAAAAGAGTGATATACACCCGAAATGATGTCAATAAATATGGTGTTGTAATCCCTATGAATGTGTGTTCTCTTCATCAAAGAGTGTTTTATAACATGCCAATATCTACAATAGAACTTCCTTGTCATTTAAGTGCAATTCGACAATTCGCATTTTTTTGTTGTTCAAACTTGAAAGAAATCACTCTCACAAACCACATTAAAACAATTGGAAATTCTGCATTTTTAAATTGCTCTTCACTTAAAAAGGTTGTTATACCAAACAGTGTCACATCCCTTGGAATGTGCTGTTTTAGTCGCTGTTATTCCTTACAATCGATAAGTGTGCCAAGTAGTTTACTTATTATCAACGACAATTGTTTTTCCTATAACCATAGCCTCAAAGAAATAAAATTAAGTGAAGGATTGAATACTCTTGGATTTTGTCGGTGTTTCCAACTCTGTGAAACGCTCGAAGAAATAACATTTCCCAAGTCAATCAGTCAAATTCCAAGTCACACATGTTATCGTTGTGGAAAACTGTCAAAAATAGTTTTAAGTGAAAGTCTGACCCGTATTGGAAATGGAAGCTTCCAAGAGTGTGGAATACGTGAATTACACCTTCCACAAAATGTTGTTGAAATAGGTAAGAAGGCATTTTTTAAATGTTTCCAATTATCAAAAGTAGAATTTAATAAAGGAATTACTGCAATACAAACAAAAGCTTTTTGTTGTTGCATATTATTAAATACAGTAAATATTCCAGATACTGTTGTATTTATTGGTAAATGTGGTTTCGAAAAAAATGTTGTTTTTACTGGAAAAAAAGGATTAATTTAATGAATACTTGTTGTTTATTAATTAAATTATTATACTATTAATAATATTAAATTTAATTATTCTTTAATTGATTAAATTATAGTTTTTAAAAATTTGTGATATAGTTGTTTATATTATAAACTATAACTATAACTATAACTATAACTATAACTATAACTATAACTATAACTATAACTATAACTATAACTATAACTATAACTATAACTATAACTATAACTATAACTATAACTATAACTATAACTATAACTATAACTATAACTATAACTATAACTATAACTATAACTATAACTATAACTATAACTATAACTATAACTATAACTATAACTATAACTATAACTATAACTATAACTATAACTATAACTATAACTATAACTATAACTATAACTATAACTATAACTATAACTATAACTATAACTATAACTATAACTATAACTATAACTATAACTATAACTATAACTATAACTATAACTATAACTATAACTATAACTATAACTATAACTATAACTATAACTATAACTATAACTATAACTATAACTATAACTATAACTATAACTATAACTATAACTATAACTATAACTATAACTATAACTATAACTATAACTATAACTATAACTATAACTATAACTATAACTATAACTATAACTATAACTATAACTATAACTATAACTATAACTATAACTATAACTATACTATACTATAACTATACTATACTATACTATACTATAACTATACTATACTATA